CGTACATGCAGTGCATGACCGATATCATGAAATGTTGACCGAAATTCTGAAATGCGCTTTCGATTGGGAAGGATTACGTAGGTGGGGTTGTAATAAATGATAAGTGTGCAGCATAAACCTATATCATTTCGGACTCGTCAGGCTGTCGGCTTTTGAATGCACTTCTTTTTGACCTCCTACAGGAACCGCACTCGGTAAAAATGGCTACTTAAGTAGCATGCATTTTTCCTATTCATCTTCGATGGGCTTATAAATTTAAATATATTTTACAGAAAACATGCAAAAAAATATGCTTTATTTTGCCCATTTGGTAGGAAAGCACATTGTCTTCGTATTTTATGCCCAAAGAAAGTGAACATTTAGGCTTTTAAGGAGTTTCTAATTATGAGATTTTTAAGACCGTGCGATGTCCATTCATGCAAGACCGCACATGTCCGTTTACCAATGCTGCTAGTGAAATGCGCAACACAGTCCGGATCCATTGCGAAATTTTAAGAACTCTATGTGGTACCTTCTTAAAGACATAGAGGAATGTATGATTTTCCTTAAGCGGAAAGCGTGCACCTTGTAGAATTAAGTCGCCAAACCTTAATGCAATGGCAGGTCATGCTCCAAATTATTCGACAGTTGGAAAACTTTTTTGAAACCTAAATATACACTTTCTTCGGATACAAAATATTAAGGTAATGTGATTTTCTACCAAAGGAGTAAAGAAGGCATTTTTTATGCATGTTTTCTATAAATATATTTGAATTTACTAGACCATCGAAAATCAATATGAAAAATGCATGCTACGTAAGTAGTCATTTTTTACCGAGTATGGTTTCTGCAGGAGGTCAAAAAGAAGTGCATTCAAAAGCCGACAGCCTGACGAGTCCGAAATGATATAGGGTTTTGCTGCACGATTATCATTTATTACAACCCCACCTAAGTAATCCTTCCTAATCGAAAGCGCATTTCAGTATTTCGGTCAACATTTCATGAGATTGGTCACGCACTGTAGCTTAAATAATAAACTAATATTTTAATTCAATGCAATTTAAAAAAGTACGCAAGCTAATAAACTCTGCGGCGGCCTGCTAACCTGCAACCCCTCTCTGAATAGTGTAGCGACTGAAGACGTCGGTGTTGGCACACGCCCGATCGAGTCGTATACCTAAGGTAGCTTCACGGCTATGTAACATGGGACAGAGTAGTAAAACACCACATCAGACATGCGTATAGTGATGAACAGAAAATATACCTTTAGCAAATGGAACTCATGCTACGATAATAAACGTTAGAATAGAAAATGGTGGAAGATCATGAATACAAGAAAATGGTGAGGTACTGTACAGATGATCCACTTGGAGTGGCTGTTAGACGCCAGTGGGGAAATCAGCGCTGTCAGCAACTGCGGGTAATGGCCTGGGATGTACCAACGGTAAGGAAAATGCAATACTGTCGGACAGCGGAAGCGAGGGGGGCGAAATCGGCGCTAGGGAGGGAAGGAACACTGGCCATCTTCACGGACAGACGATCACACAGAACTCATCCGGATCCGCGCCAACAGTGGCCTCGTCCCTTCCAAACAACCCTGCCAAACTTGTGGTGCGTTACAATAGCACAGATAACAAAAAAGAAGCATACGTCAATTTGAAGTTACGCATAAAAATCACTGCCAAACTGCAAGGTCATTTTTAGCACGAACAGGCTAATCAATGAAAATGTTAACTTCAAAACGCAATTTAAGCAAGAAAAGGGTGGAACCGGACATTTAAAAAGGTTGTGTAAATATGACGCATGAGGATTACCAGAGGAAGTTGAGGGTATTCACGGGGTCTAGGTATTTGTATCCATAAGTATCTCTCTTCGTATGTAGGCTGCTTCAAAATAGCGCACTGGTCGACTCGTTCGTGCCCAAACTTTTAAACGAAAGAACGTTTTGAGGCCAATGGTGTTGTCATTATCCAGGTGTGTCGTGAAAGAAAAGCAGGAAATTTTATTTTCTTGCTTCAAGAGCCATTTTGGCAGGTGCTCAACTGACCTGGCCGCCAGTTGACCTGGTGCTCGTCAAAGTCTCTTGCGTCCGCAAGCGTATGCAAGTTAATAAACTGAATTTGAGGGAGCATGCAATAACAAAGGATCCTTTGCCCGTATAATTGAAATGGCTTTAGAATGAATGTTGACTATGAGTTCGGCTGTCCTGCACGTCTTTCGCTGGTGTATTTCAGTCCTCACTTGGTGGTATTTAAACTCTCATCATCCCTTAAGGGTAAGGACATTACAACGGGTAGGATATTGCTGTAATTGTAGATGAAACGTTTTGAAAAGCCATGTTTGAACGTGGCTGCTATGAGGGGGGGCGTTTTCATCTATTGTCTCAGGAGAGCATGTGCTTCTTGCCCTTTGCGAGAGTGTGCGCTACGTCTCCGTTCCGTTGTACTGGAGCAGAGGCCAGAAAATGCAAATATTGACTTCTCCTTGTATACCTATGTAAGACCGATCGCCTTACTGACTCATTTTCCTATCTAGTCATGAGGCCATCCAACAACAAGAGTTTATGTCTTTGTTTTTTTTTTCTAATGTGAATTTGTTGTTCGGATGGAAACCATACATGACGACAAATATGTATGTCATGTGCTTCCTCGTTGTTATCAACAATTACTAATATGATATCCACATATGTTTTGTATAGTGTTTTAGTGTTTAATTTAGGTGGCCATATTTCTCCTAGTTGACCCATAAAAGTGCCAGCAAAAATCAAACCTAATGGGCTTCCCATTACTACGCCGTCAGTTTTTTGCATGGGTGTCCATTAAATAGAATTTGAAAATATTTCGTAAACGACTTCAACAAGTCACGTTATATTTCGTGTGACAGACGGGTTACAGGCCCATAGGTGCATATGACATCTATTGTTTTAGAAAGTGGTGCATTTTTCACTCGCTGTACCCCGTCCTATGTAACTGTTTTGGCCTGATGAGAAGTTACCCAAAGGAACGTTCACTCGCCACTGTCTCTTCTAAATAGCGATTCTTGTTCAAGACGATTAAAAGTTTACTGAAAATGATTCGAAAGTGGAAATCTGCCTTTTATCCTGTTAGCCGAACACCGATGTCAGACGGGTTCTAAAGACTTCACGGATACTGTGGTAGTCTATATCGGAGTGAATTAGACAAAGGCAGGGTTGGTTGCAAAGGTACGGCTTTGTACGTGTTTTGGTTGTCTGAATAGACTAGGGATATATGTATCAGCTCGCTTTTATGGATAAGGTGGTTTTAACATCAGTCACATTTTTGCGCTGTAAATTTTCTAAAATTTTATAAAACGGAGTTTTTCAATGTGAGGGTTTCCTGTTTTTGAGTTATTTAAAATGGATTGCCTTTTCCTTACATAATCCCTTCGTTTAAGATTAAGAGCTCGTAGCATTTGTAGGGCTTAGAAATCATTATTTGTCCGCGATGCTCCAATTCAGCAATGGCAGTCTTTTGTTTATACATCATTGGTGTCGGTTTCGTTATTGAAACTTTATGATTCTGATAACAAGTGCCCACTAATTTTGCCTCTAATCAGCCCTCGTCCTTGGCAGATCTGGTTAATAGATCAGATATTTGCGAAACCAAGTCTTCAAACTGGTCTCAAATTTGAATTCAACTGCTGTTTGCTTAATTGTTATCTGCGCTAGACAGCGACCGATTGCAGACATTCAACTCTTACGAAATTTGTTTCAGCCACTAAATTCTGTCGTGTATACCAATTTTGTATTGCATAGGCATTCTCGCTAACCGAGATCATTGCCTAGATCGAAAATCTTCACAGACTAAATTAAGAGGACTCCTTTTAGACCGAAGTTAAAAATAATTGGTCGTCTGATAATTTCAGAAGTTCGGACAATTTTAAAGGCCTTTTGTGTTTGTCTGCGTCGAAGGCCCCAAAACCAGCAAGGGCGCGCAGTAAGAGCACGGACGGATTATGTTGGCCGGCCGATCTGGCAAGCTTGTTGAGGCGCTGTCAGGTTCAACCACTTAGTTTGCTTAACAACACCTCAAGGGATGAATATTTCTCAGCCGACTGAGGACAAGTCCTCTCTTACCCTGCCAAAACATACGAATATTTCAGGTTCAAAAGCTATGTTGCTTAAAGGTTGTAAGCTTCCGCTTTGTTATCTTTTTAGCTGTCGCATCTCATGCTCCTGAGGAGTTGAAGTCGCATCAGTATCGGCGGAGGGCACAATCCGGTAACATCTGAAAGTCCATTAACGCATACTTTTGTCTGAATCCCTAGTGGGAAATCTATATGAGGCGACAATTGTTGCAATAGGTATAACCGACTAATAGTGGATTTTTGCATTCTTTTCACCAAGAAGACAACAGCGAAAAGTTGCGCAAGCATCTAGTCTGGCTAATAAGGAGCAGCTCAAAGTTACTTAAACGTTTGTACACCATGGGCTTGCTCGCAATCAAGCAGCAGTCCACATCTACTGACCTGGCGCGATTTGGTACAAAGGCGCCAAAGTGGATTTCTGCACATTAGGGCTGCCTTTGCCAAGCGCCTAGAAAAGTCCCTAGGTGTTCTCAGAAATCAGTGAAGTAGGCCTGGCTCCATTTTGAATGAGACTGGCGGTAGAACCTATTATCGTTTTAATATAGGACTTTGATTTAGAACAGATGCCAGGCCCATCATGCCAGTCACCAAGACCGCCGCATGCGAATACGTCAAAGGGTTGCATAGGTTAAACTTTTCCAATAAACGTAAAATTGAAAATGCAATAAATGTAGCTGCATATGGTTTTGTTGGGCCCGCAATTTATAAAATGATACATCTTGGGGGTTCCTTGGAGGACGGTGGGACGGAGGGCATTTCCATGCGTGCATAGTAGATGTATACTTGGTTAAGTCGATAATATTAGATCTGCCGCTGAACAGCCTCCTATCGCAACTTTTCGTTGTTTCCTTAGCGAAAAAGTGCAAATATCCACTCTTAATCGGTCATACCTATCGCGACATTTCCACAGCTACTCATTGTTGCCCCAATATGGATTTACTAGTAGAGGTGACAGTGAGTCTAGTTAAAGCCTCGGGTTCTTGTTTTGGGTTTATCTAGCCATGCGGGCCTTTTGCGAAGTTGGCTATTGTTATGCTGGATTTTGCCAGTTTATGCATCTTTTGTGAAAACGACTTTCAAGCTGGTAATTTCAGCCACGAAATCAGGTAAAGGTGGGCTGAAAATGTCCAGGATAGGTAGTGCAATGGCAAAGAATTGTCTTTTCTTGTCCGGGATTCGTTATGCAGAGCATGTCAGCCGTTTCCATTTAAATTGTATTGTCAGGTAATTGTTTGTGATATCGAGACCGACAGTGCCTGTAATCTGAACTCCAGTCAAATGTTTTAGGCGAGACTCGTTCTATGCTGCAAATATTAACACACTCTGACCTGATCGGTTATATTCTATTTCACAATGTATCCCATTACTCTAAATAGCAGCGCAGTCGTTTTTAATTCCTCGCCATACTTCTGTTGTCGGCGGATTTTTCATGAACATTTCGTCCTTTAGATTCTTGTGACTGGCCATGAAATCATCTTTTTATGATTTGCGAAAAGTACGTTAGGATGCATTTATCGGGCAACTGCGTATACGAGTTGTTGTCGTGCCTAATTTTTTAACGACCCCGCGATTCTCGCCTTTCATCTGCAGCGCATTTGTTTCCCTTCTTATTCCAAAAGTTAGCAGGAATCCTACTAAATTGACCAAACGTGAAGTTTCCCTGACACCCAAAAGGACTACGGCAATCTCCCAGGTATATGCTGTTCTGGCTTATTTCTCCCAAAGGCTGATGCTGTGGACGATTATTTCATGCAACATGTGTCCGGTGCTACGACAAAGACAAGCAAGAGGACCTTAGCTAAACTTCGCACGCTCGATGGAAAGGGCCTACCTGATCCGGAGACCCTCGAATCGATCCTTTCAAAATTCAAGCCATCATGGGTCGGACTGATAAAACGCCGACAGACTGAAATTATCACTTCCCTATTTCCGAAATGGCTTGCATACTTAAGGTGAGTCGAAGGTTATATTCTTACCACTTTGTTTCTCTGTTGTCTTTTTGTCGTCCAAGTGCATTCTAAGCTACTTAACCGTTTCCGCTTCATCTCCGCGCTCTTATTCGTGACAAGTAGTGTCCACTTGTCAGTCGATTTACTCGAAGCTGCGCGTTTTTAATTAGGTGATTATCTGGTTTGCTTATAGTCCATGTGGACATTGCTGTTGCAATGAGCCTCTTGTTTCGCTTAATCTGCCCCTACCTGCACGACACTGTTTTCCTTCACTTCGATGCTCCACTTTTCCACGACACAGTTTGTAGACTTTAAAAAGATCTACATTAAACTCAGGTACAGTTTTCATTGACAAACTATTGCATAATGTGTTCTGGATAAGACTACAGATTGAGAAGTTGCAACCGTATGGTTTCCACAAGGAAATTTGGGCAGTAGTCAGTCGGTCGGAACACCTAAATGCTGAAATAGCAGTTTACGTGATTTGGGTTTATTCTATGTAAGTGTTTCTGAGCTTCTTACAGGAGTACCTCGAGCCCATTCAAACAGTGGTCGATTGACTCGTACAAACCTTATGTTCACGATTGTGCCAGCGTTAGATCTCAACTAATGCCTCTGTCTAAAAAAGTGTCATTTAAGATTCTTTAATCCATGCCATGTTTAGGTCTTCGTCGGACATCATTTCAGGCTACTAGACTCAGTTTAGCAGACCCTTATTCCCTTTTCTGCTCGTGCTCTCGATTCCAGTAGGATCGCCCGCCTCTCAAGCACCAGCCTTATTTTAGGCTGTGCTTTTAAGTTTTGCCTGCGTATGCAAACGTAGCGTATCAAGTGTTTTTCCTGATCTGGCTTTGTCGACTGGAAGTGACCTCTCCAACTGTACAATCCACTCTTTCCTTCAGAGAGGGATTCAACCTTCTGATGTACGGTGTGGGCTCCAAACGCGAGCTCATCTCTCGTTTCCGAAAGGATTTACTCGCTGGGGAAAACTGCATCGAAGTCTCCGGTTACCTACCGACAATCGGGATGCGTCAGGTTCTGACATGCTTCTGCCTAATCCGGACTTTCCTAGATTTTGAGTGCTATACTAAGCGACATTCTCCAATTGTCCGACATTCCGTCTGTCGTCGCCAAACAGCTAGATATAATTTCCGACTTTTTTTCACGCCCAGGTCAGTTTGTTTGATGCCGTTTACTTAAATCGTTCTTTTTAATTGTTGTTTAGCCCGTGGCCTGATCACATTCTTAAACCAAGGGGTATTCCCCTAGCAGTTTTTTTATTTCGACGTTTAATACTGATACTGACTAATCGACTATTTGTTAGGGTCTGCCGTGATGACAACAGAACTAAGTAAATTGTGTGTATTGATGCGTCTCGTGTTAAGGGCAAGTAGATTGGTCTCCACCAAGTATCATAATAGAGCTGCCCAGATACGGTAATCTTAACACTGATCCCATAATGCCACTGTTTTGGTGAAATTTCTGATGCCTATTAAACCAACCCTCAGGAACACCCTTCTAGTAGACTGACGCTTCTAATGCAACATTTCAGCCGCTATCTTCGGTTCCCCGTGCCTTTCATTCGCATTTTTGGTTAACTAATGAATCGTTTGACTGACAGAGCGCAAAATAACACAATGAGGCAAGTCGAGGTCTGGAAAGCCTTATAAAGTACCACGTTCATTTGGCGTGACAATCATGAATCGTCCCGGTCTAGTGGAGGAATAGAGAACCCAGATTCTACCAGGCCCCCATAATCCCTATCAAGATACATACTTCTCCACAGCGCGCAGCATCCAGCGCTTTTGAACCGCCGCTAGTAGATCTCGTGATAGATATGCAAGCTGGCCTTCGTGAAAGGAGTTGCGTTTCGCACCCACGCAAAGCGATGATACCGTACAGTGCGTATATTGCCTGCCCCTAAGATGCGCCTTCCAGGTCGTGACTCGTAGCACCCAAGTCCTGCGCGCTGACAAATGCGTCCGTCTCTGTCGCTGTGTCACCGAGACGACCATGTCTTGTCACCTGGTCGATGTTAACCCCCGCAGCGTTGTTGCGTCAGAATCACTAATTACGCGCGCCGTCACGAGTGGGACTGAAACCCCCACAGCCAAAGATTCGATTTAACTTTCTTTGAGCAATGTGCATTTCCTGCCTTTCTTTCGACTCTCTTTTGTATAACCTCGTCGTTTCTGCATCCCTTAGGTGCATCGGAAGCACCCCTCTACCTCCTCGTCCACAACATCGATGGTCGCAACCTTCGCACAGCCAAGGCGCAGGCCATTTTAGCCCGGTTGGCCGCAGTACCGCATATTCATCTCGTGGCCTCGCTTGATAATGTGAATCTCCCTATATGTAAGCACTTTTTATCTGAAATACCCTCCGCCCCGGAGTACAGTATGTAAGGATGTGATTCCTGTCAAGAACAGATTCAGTATAACTCGAAGTTCATCTCTTGTGGGGTCACTCATAATCATAGTTTTATTAGGGTACCATCAGCGGGTTTGGTTAAAAGGCCTTTCTCGGTAGTATCTCCTATTGACGAATGAAAGTATTTTCACATCTTATACTGGTTGGACTTGTATTAAACCGTAGGCGGTCTCTATGCTTAGGTGTGAAATATTGCCATCTAACTTGCGTTTCTTTTGATCTTCGCACTGATTTAGGTAGATAGCTGACCCGTTTTTAGGTCACATTTTTTGTCTTAAATTATTGTCCTCTAACCCGTGCTTGGTTTATAACTGCGCCACATCAACTCTCCGCAGCAATTTCTCTTGACATTGGATATTTCTGCCCCTAACATACACGATGTAAGCCCGTGGTTCAACTGGTGTAGTGGTAGGCCCAATGCTAAATTGAACTCGTTTCACAACTTTGGGCCCAAATATTGCTGGGTGCCAGCGCCAAGTAAATCAGGTGGCGTCACTTGTCTCGGTGCTTCACATTAGAGTCGTAACGAGCGTGCACTTCATTTTACGGTCTTGGCCGTACCTAGGAGTCAGTCCTGAGTCGATGTTGGACAGTGGTTACAAATCATATCAGAAAATGCTAGATCTCATCTTCAGCCGGCTTAACCATGACTTGTCACAAGCACGTGTCCGGACGGAGGGAAGATAATCCAGTTTAGGTCAAGCGTGTACTTTTTACCATTATTAATTTAACGCATATCCCGAAGAGCCAGGCGTGATGGCTGCTTTTCTTTGTGACACTCATGGTAACCCTAACTCGTGTGAAATTCTAGATTAAAGAGCAATTATTTTTTACGTTCTTAACTGTTTGGTATATAGCGCGTCCGCCAAGTCAGGGCAAAAATTTTCTGCCATATGGACTTGATGTACATCCTTTAATTCAGAACGTCATAGACATCACTACTTATCTTTAACTTCTTTTAAAGTGTGATTCGATACGTTCAAGACCGCTTCATATGCGCGAAGGGCCCAGCATATGTAGTACGCATAGGTCTGTATCCCATACCTGTGCCCACACCCATCTCCAGTCGTCTACCTCGTTTTGGAACTCAACTGATAGATACGGATGGATAACGTGAATTAGGGGCTGCGCAAGCATACCTTATTGCAATCCGCTTCACGCAAATACCACTTCTGCGTTTCCTGGAAAGTGGTAGCCCTCATCCATAATGACGGACAAGCTGACGTTTTTACAGCATGAATATAAGTTTAGTTTGAAAATCCAATCGAGAAAAGGTATTGGACCGCAGCCAGTGAAAATCTAAGGCATTGGCTTCGGAGGTATGATCCGATGCGATTATATTTCCTTGGTTAGAAGTGATGCAGTCGCGCCACTTTGTAGGTAAAGTTTTTCCTAATCTCGCATGACAGGAGTTAGTTCGTTGTTACCCCGGCACCCAAGGGTCGAGCTCGTGATCCAGTCCCTAGTCAATAAAGATCCTGGTTCCGAACGCCGTGCTTTTATGACCTTTCCTGGCCGGTTACCGACTTCAAATAAACCAAAACTGGCTATCTCGTGTTTCTTTGCTTTGGTGGTCACACTTGTTGGTTTCTTCATTACCCAAGAGGGTGGTGCCGTTGATTGGTTGCACCCCAGCTGACGTGCTGAACTTTTTAACTTCGTCTTCTTATCCACTTTAGTATGGTCCCAAACAGAACTCAGTCGATTCTCATGGTTATGGGAGGACTGTTCTACGCTAGCACCCTATGCCGAGGAGGCGAGTTTTTCAAACAGTCGCCTGCTCCAACAGATTCTAAATGGCCGGAGCTACGCAGTTGACAACCATCTCTTTCCAAACGATGTCGACGTAGCATCGCTTACCAGGCTACGTCATGTGATGGCGTCGTTAACACAAAATGCTCGTGAAATATACCGCCTTCTGGCTGAATTTCAACTTCAGGCAGTCGAAGAGGCAGTACAGCGTCGAAAAATCACCGCCAAGGGCAACAAATCGAGAGAATCCGAGGAGCCTGGTACGTCGACTAACCACGCTGCCAACCATGTTTTTATATTTTGTGATCTTACCCACATTTTGTACAGCATTCATACCCCGGTTAGGGTGCCATGTGTTTCTGCTCTGGTCTACCGTTTATTTGTAATGTTAGTGCCTACGGTCTATTAAGTTGGTTGCACGCTATAGTTTATCACGTCATATATTGCAGTCGGCAGAGGAACAAGTGGACGTGGACAGGGGGGGTTTTGAAAATGAGGATTTTCTTTATGTGTATTTGTTTGTATAGGTAGTCACCCCAGTCTAGACTTAAGCAAAAAAGTGCTGGGTCTGCTAAGTGGTGGATTGTTTTCTGTCCGGAATTCATTGACGAGCAAAAATAAGTTATCTTGATCCAACGACATCTTTTTACCCTAGTATGTTTTGCGACTAAGTGCGCCACAGGATTTTATAATTTTCACCCGAATGCTTAGGACATTTTCACTCAGAATGAGCATTCAAGGCGGCTGTGTTCGACAAAGAGCGACTTGTTATGTTTGCCTAACGATGGGTTCTTGCTCTTGTTACATGCCTACCCTGTGTTTGTTTCCTGATAAGGGCATACGAATTCTTACTAACTGGTTTCAGTGTTTGCATCAGTGCCTACAATCTTTAACTGTCTTTACTCGCTTCACAAGTTAATGCTACTTCCCCGTGTTCGTGGCATTTGCCTTTTACTCCAGCAGTCCAAGGAATGCCGTTAGAGGAGCTTTACTGGCGATGTCGCGATGCCTTTCTTGTGAACAGTGAGGTCACACTTCGAGCACAGCTGACTGAATTCAAGGACCATAAGCTGGTTAAGTTTTCAAAGGTAAGTTGGCCGTTATTTCGAAAAACTGCATACGATGGCCTAGCCTTTGCAGCTTGCAACACAGTACAATATTCGTGGTTGGTGTGGAGCTATGTAAAACTTCATGTCGCAAGACTTCGTAATACAAGATTCGCGAATACATTCCAGGTCCTTCCAAAAAGAAGACTATAAGCACTAAAGCAGGTCCTTGTGCGTGCTTTACTCGCCGTGGTTGGCACACGTTCATGTTTCTTTCTGTTGAAGCACGCACTTATACGACCTAAGACGGTCATTCTTCGTTCGCAGCTTAAATGATTCCCGGGACTGACTTGATTTTGGTGAATAATTGCTGAGCAGCCGTGGTTCTCGACTCTTGCTCGGTGCTCAGTTCATATGAAGAGTGGGCTTTGTTTGAGCACGCTGTTGCCGGTTTCCTCCCGTGCGCCACCCCAGACACAAATCTTAAACCGACTAACGGGTGCACAGAGCGCCCGTGGCTTCCGGATATACCGAATTTTGCACACTGTCCTCTAAGACATTGCGGGCTCCGAGTGCTGAGACAAGCGGGTATCAGTGACCTTGACCCGAACACTGCAACGAACCTCTGACGCAGATATCTATTTGTTTAGCCGGTAAGACTTTTCAATGACCAGTCTGAAGATTTAAACGACAGCGTGGCCTGTAATCTCATTCCGCGCCAAAGTAACATTTCGCTGCAGTCACCAGCCCACTTTCTTCATGTACTATACTTCGCACGGTGTCCTACATATACAGAAAAGAGGACTTCTTCTCCTTGGTAGGCCCCCGAACCCCATTGCGCAACCCATCCCATCAAACAGAGCATGGTTCAATCCAAATTATCAAACGTCGAATTAGGCCCCTTGGGATGTTAAGTAAGCCTCTGTTCGGATTTGATAGTATTGCGGATTGTTGTAGAAGAATATAAAGCGAGCTCAAAGAGCCTTCTCCCGCATATTTTACTCATAGTTCGTTCTCTGCATTTGCGCCAAATCATGCATCTGATTGAACGAAAACGAATTCGAACTTCTCCGGGCATCGGTCTTCCGTTTTTCTTCATCAGCCTCTTCTCGCCCGTCGTCGAGTCCTTCAGCCAGCATGTATCAAGCCGAATTTCGGTTCGACAGTGCCTCAGACTCCTGAGGTAGTAATGTGTAGTTTTTAGTAACTTGTGCAGCTATCTGCCGATACAAACTATGGAAGTGGGTAAACACGCACACGCTGACCCTCCTTGTGCATCGTTTTCTGCCACCGCAATTGAGTCTGCGGTTTGTTAATTGTGCATTCATGTTCGTTTCAGAGCCCAGACGGTACTGAACTGCTGAAAATACCAATGGACAAAGAAAGTCTGAAGGAGGTTTTGCACAATAAGGAAGCCTTTGGCTGAAGCCTTCAGAGCTGCATATCCCTATTTATTTTTATATCACAAACTCACTTTTCGCAGAGTAAATTGTCTGTTCAATATCCACGCCCTGTGTCTTCAGCTGTGTATTTTGATGGAAGTAGGAAAATCTCCGAGATTCACAAGGAGTAAGCAAGGTGCAACATTCCAATATTTTCTACAGAAAGTGTTTGGGTGCATGGGGTTAAGATATGGTTCCTATTGTCGTGGATGGTTACCTAACGCCATATCAGTCTGTAAAAATGTAGATACCGGGTTGCTGACGCGTTGACACCGGTTTGCAATAATGCTGTGGAGTGGTGGAAAACTGATCTCTCCGAGAAGACATGCCCTTACGACTGCTAAAGTGCAGGGCTGTGTACCACGCACTTATTCGTGCGAAGCATACGGCGCCGTTATTCGTCCCCGCGCACCGTAGGTATGGCCGGCCTAAAAGTAAAATATCATGGTTTATATGAACAGTGTGCATGAGTTCCGGCTTATGCTGCCTACAAACCCGGGATAAGGGCTGGAGTTGCTGCTCAACCTAGCGACCATTGCACCCGATTACCTGCAATAGGAGAAAAGTAGATTTCCCGTACAAGGGCTGTAGGACGGCGTACAGGAACTGTACACTCAAATCTAATATAAGCAAATGGCAAACGTCAAAAACATGCACTGGCGGTCGATAACCGGACCTGTCCTGGTTCATCAGTGCTTTAATCCCAATGCGAGTGTCGTTTGCGATGCAACTCTAACTTCCTTGGTGAGACAGACAGTAGATCCCCGCAACACTGGTGGCCTTGTACTGAATTCCAGTGAGGGTTCCCACTCCTGTGTCCCAACCCTAATCTTCTTGGAATTAAGAGCAAGGCCGCCTTTACCACAGGAAGGTTCCTATTTCTGTGTCCGGCCAATTTCTATTCTGACCGTGAGGTTCTACAACTTACGAAAAGAGACTTCATTGGTGTCCTTGGCGGGTTTGGAGAATCCATCCGGTTAGGGCCTCGTAGCTTAGATGATAAGGACGTCGGCTGTACTGGATCTTAACCGTTCCTGTCGTGGCTGCCGTGTTTTCCACAATTGGTCTGGTAAGAAGAGCCCATATTAGGTCCATCGCGCACGCAGGTTCTGGGCTTCTCAAGCAATAGTGTCGTGGAATTCTGTTAGGTGTGCGATTTGTGGATTATTTGGCCGAGGTATGAGCTGCGAAAGACTGGTCGCCAGCCTCCTCTCGCTAAACACCAGTATTTTTGTGACATGGTCCTGGTTAAATACGCGTTTCTTGATGCCAGTTTGTGGCATTCACTTTCCTGTGAATTTCAACAGACGTTTGCAGCTACATATTGAGACAGCCACTTTTAGATCTGACTCAATCTACAACAGTCACGTCTGGCTTTGACTTAAAAGGTCGTGTTGGAAGCCTGTGCTGGGCATCTCCACTAGGGTTACTCGGCACAGCAAACGTATGCAGCCTCTACTGGACCCGTTATGCCTTTTCTTCTTACGTGACTTTGATGACAAATGTGCGACTGAGATCGCCCTGATGCACGAAGCCCATGTTCCGGCTCCACCACGTCAGGACGGTTCACGCAGGCCCTGTAGCTTGTCTTCCATCCTCAGCCGAGGATCCTGTCGTTGCAAAGATGTCGGTCGTATTGATTACGTCTTCACACTCTATTCGGGCAGTCCCGCCTCGTGGGACCGCGTAGCATGCTGTGCAGCCGCTGTAGGTATAAGTAGTCCTATCTACACCTGTCAACAGGTCATACAGAACCTGTTTGTATGGACAAAATATGCCTTCTTTTAAAAGAATATCTCTTCAACAGTTAACTTCTCAAGCATTAAAAAATGAGGGTGGGACTTACCAATTTGGATAGTAGAGCTGCCGACGGTCCATTACTCGCGTCTCGGTTATCCTCACCGTTCTTCTGAGGGAGTCTTGCCGCCAGACTTCGCCTGTTCTTTTTCTCAATATCGAAGTCGGGCGCTAGATTTGGTAGCCAAGTGCATCTCTCGTAGCGACTATTCGTTGCCAAAGGTCTTGCGGCCTTTAAAAGGTGGAAGCCGGTATAACAGACCAATAGCAGTCAGATTTGGTCAAACCGTCTGCATACAACTGCCATAACTGTGACTCATTTAGGAGGTCCCAGTCTGCTGGCCGTCCGTCACCAGAACTTTTCACCTCTTTACATTGGTATAGGTCATTTGCCAAGTCTGAATTCCAACCAGCTAAAGCTTGTGGCGTTGGAAAAAAATGCTGTGAAACTGCTTAGTCTTTCAGTCAATGTCACACAATGTGTGAGGGGATATGTATGTAGAGGAGCTATTGCTGCATGGAATCGGGAAAGTGAGGCCTGAACTGATATACATTTCATAATGCGGGTCTAGGAGAGTCCTCGCTACAATAAATCTGATGCGCCTAAGAGGGGCACGATATGCTAATAACCGTGGCCTGAAAGGTTACCAACCAGCGAAATAGCTCAGGACGTAGGGACAGTTTTCTGCAATGGCTCCCTCGTAACGAAGCATTTGTGATAATTGAGTTCTAAGAGATGCTACTGGTAGCAGTTGAAGTGTGGTATGCGTGCGCTTGGGAATCACAATCCCTCTGATGTGGGTTGATGTAGGTACTTTCTCAGCCACTACGCCAGTAGTTACTCCCAAACCGTTGTTACTATCCTGCCGTTTAAAAATGATGTAAGTGCGAGAGCAGAGGCAGGTAGAGAAAAGGCGTGTTTCGTTGTAAAGAAGTCCACGTCAAAGTCAGCACCGCATCCTCATCGACACGTTTTGTGATCTCGTTGTTTACGTTGGAGAAGCTCATTGTATGTCATTTATTGCTAAATGGAATTCGCAACCGTCAGAATAGGTTAAGTCAAATAACAAAATCAGCCATTGGAAGCTCCTCTCCACCCTCTGCATATCACCTGATTCTAAATAGATGATGGCCAAAAAGTATAAAACGGCACCAGTCTCCCTTAGCCTGGTCGATAACACTTATTGAAGCTAACTTTCATCCCAACCTTTATCCCGACATTCATTAACGCTAACGACGAAGTGACGCTTGTCCTAAAACACTTTTTCTCCAGAAGTCAGCTAATTGCCAGAGAATTTCGCTTCGCCAAGATCGATTTTCTAAGGCAAAGCAATCATGTGCACCGGAAAGAGATGTCTCCGTGAGTGGAAAAACATAAATTGGCACGAATTTAGGAAGAAAAAACGGTTTGTAATAAAGGCATGGGCTACTACAGAAACGAAATTTTTTCGCTCAGGCCAAAGTGCTTGTTGGGAGTGTACGAAGAGGTAAGTTGCACGACGCAGTCAGAAAGCGCCACAAATATCATTTACCTTGCAGTCAGTGCTTCTGCCCCACTTTAAGGGCTCAATGAGCAAGAAGTCATAAAAGAGTTGAACAAAAGTTCTTGTGATTTAGACATACAAAAAACTGCTTTGCCGACTGGTATCCATGTAAACAGAATGAGTCATTTTCTTATGTCCAATCATATCGTCTAAGACACTGAAGGCGCAGTCACTTACGCTCATTTCCGACACCGTATAAGACGGAAAGTCCATCTGGTTGGTTGTCCTCTGGTCACGAGGGCCATTCGCTAGAGATGATTCTTCGATTCGTCTTCTAGGCCCATAAGCGGTATCATTGTCGTCCAGGGTGGTATGCCAAGGAGGGCGATTGACGTATGAGATAAACCGTCCACCCGTCATGTGTCGCTCCAGAAGCTGCTTCTGTGTCAAGTGATGAGGGTCCTGACCCTCCGTTGGACCAGAAGGAGGCCCCACAATGGAGGTAGGTCTCGGCGAATGATCTGCACTCTTGTCTAACCGTACACTGCCCTCCGGCCGTTCGTTGAAGCCCGAAGACTCATCAATTCCGACTTCATGCATTAGCCGCTTCTGCCGTTCATGAGCGCGCATTTCGGCTCTCCGAATAAGATCATCACCGGCAAAGTCGAGGCTATCCCTAGAGTCGGCTGCATTGGTTTGATTCTGTTCATTTGATTTAGGTGGCGTCGCCGGCGACTGCACAGGTGATTGAGCAAACATTTGAGACACTAGTCACAAAGTGTTCCGCGTTTGTTTAACGCAAAGCTTGAGAGCATTTAATAATTTAGCTTCATGTGTTCCCAGGCTTTCCATGTCCTGCTAATATTCTCAATAAATCCTTTTGGCATGAATCTTATAAAAACATGTAGGAATATCGTCTGAGCCTAAAGTAATAAACCTGGATTGATTACCTTGCATTCCAGGTAAGAATTAGCGATAGGCCAAAAAAATTCGACCACGAGTGGACTCAGCTAAAAGTTGAAATTGCTCAAATAAAAATGTCACACAACCTCGAATGAGGCAGGAATATATAGCCATTTCTGTCTTCTCCTTGTCCTGTTGAGTCAGCAGTGTCCAAAACCCAAGCCGGCCAGATCTAACACCGAATTTGCGATAGGAATTTACGCTCATCCACTTAAGCCATGGACCAGCCCTCTGTAGTCTACGCTCGGGATATTAGAAACCTCGATTGCGACGTTCAAGGATATGTCCAGATCGCGTGTCGGAACATAGGTGTGTCATCCTGTCTAGGAGCTCCTCAATAGAGCTATCAAAGGTAGGCACATTGTAAGGAGCAGTCGGTAATTCAAGATTTTGCCGAGAGAAAATAAGCGAAAATAGAATAATCACTGTTGGCTTATTTTCCGCCGTCAGCCAGCCGAAGCCCAACTGCAGGCATTACTGGCTATCCCATGCTATTTGATCCCCGTAGATGGGTGGAGACCGCAATTACTAGGTAAATAGGCATGTTACGTTAGTAATCCTCACTACCACACAAAGATTGTACTTTTCCAACTTCAGAGGATGCGATTTCGCGCTGGCATTATTTGCTGTTCGGACGTATTACGTGTAAATGATAGGCAGAATGACAATAGCCGCATTACTGTGTCCTTCAACGAGTTAAGAGAGCCACTGACATCGAAAAGCAAGCCTCGTTTATATACTTGCGGCAAACATCAATCCTTCCCCCAATAAGGCATGATAATGTGGTTTCTTACCAGCTGATTAAATCCAATTTTTATCATCGACCCTGTTTCACAATGTGGACTTGAGTTTCTCACCTGCACCAATTTTCTACTTCCGAATAATTATTTCTACATTCCACTCAGATAACTAAGTCTGGCTTCTCTCTTCCGTATGTTCCACATCAGAAGTGACATAAAATAGAATTGCATCCCAGTGGTCAAAGGGTTGGACTTTGACCAGCTTTTTAATAACCCTCCCAGTCTGCCTCACCAAACACTAACAAGTAGGACAGTATGATTTCAGTCCTCCTTCCACAGTCTCAGAAGTTTTACTGGCCACGTAAGACATTCATATGACCTACCCGTTGCAGATCTGCTTTCGCCAAATTTCCCTCTTCCACTGCGGGTTGTCCTGGCGGCTGCTGTACCTCCCTGACAGGGGATCCTTCTTGTGGCGTTCCCTGGTATCCGTTAGAAGCTTTATCAGAAGAGGGCAATAAAAAATGACAGAGGCCTTTGCTGCTTTTCTTATGTGCTTGACGAATTTATAAACAGCGCTTTCGAATACTCTCAACCATGAATAGAAGTATGAGATGGTTGTTTTTTTAAAAAGGCTTGAGAGGGCAACAAATTAGATTCTGCCATTTGCGCCGTTAAGTAAAATTGCTCCAAACCTACTGATATGATTAAGAAACTGGGACATACCAACTTAAACTTCTAGTAACACTGATTTACTAGCAGAAGGCCGAAATTTTCCTTCCGTGCCTTGTAATATTAGAAATGAAAATAGGCAGAAATTTGCGTAATCGAGGAGTGCGGCATAAAAAGAAAACCAGACCTGTTGTCGTTTACGCTGGGCAATTTCTGCCGACTGATGTTCCGTTTTTTAGACCAAGAGCCGAACCTATCTCCTAAGATCCAAGAGTAACTTGTCCAGAACAGACACAAGCATGCATTAAATACTGCATTGCTAGAGAAACCGTCCTCTTTTTAGCATGCAAGGTGGTACAATCAAACTTTTTCAAAGTTTTGAAACAATTTGAAACCGACCAATAAGATAGTTGGACAATCTCTTCAGCGTACATGAATACGCTAACCACTTTGAAGAATGCTGCGGGTGTCATACGGACAAACTGCTCACTGTTATAAGGCAAACCGGAATAAATAGATTTGTCAACGTCTGATTGAAAACATAGGTTTATATCTTTCAGCGCAAAAGTGCCATCAGATGACATGCTGTGTGGTATTTGAAATGCGGTAGAATAGTTCAGAATATAGAAACCTGGGAAATAATAAATCAGCCCGTGATAGCGCAGACGTTTGAGGCAAGGGAAAATAAACTACTTAGTCAATTTAACCAGGTTTAGCTGTCGGATCCCGAGGATGCATTATAGATTATCATCAGGAAACAAGACATACTGTCGTCGAAAAAGCGAATCCCAACTATTCTGACGGCATACGTTAACCGTCTTGGTCTTATGTAAGACAGATCGTTACCAAGGGATTTAAAACACTATTTTGAACGTTTATTACACTTGCCTTCCTTCGTTTGACATTCGCTCCAAACACACTTTTTGTTTAATGGGGTCATCTGTCAAACATCTCTTTTTCATCCTTTATATGCAAAATGGTTCATGTTTTTAATATTACTCTTCTGTCAGTTAGCCTTTTCACGAAATTTCGGGAATGAACAGAATCAGTTCTCTTACCATCGCCGAGGAGATTGTTCTAAGATCCGGAGTCAGGTAACTAGTCTTGACGAGATGAAGCCAATTGCCAGAGACAATTTTTTAGTTTATTGGGTTCAAAACAGAATCACACATGGCAGATGCCTCCATGAGGTGTCATGGAATCCGTCGTCGGTTAGCAGTCTCTAGAACACGCTTAGCATAGTCAGACGGTAGGTATGGAAGAATGTTTTAATGAATTACTACGATTCCCTTCAGTGAAAGCATCTGAAACAGGCGACGGTGAGATCAGTGAATAGGAGGATGCTTTAAAGGTCGCGATTTTCGTTTCAAAAAGCACTTCCGATTTAAGTGAACTTGGGCAAGTTTTTAGAATTTGTGCTACTGTCGAATGCAGAAAGGATCCTTTTAGGTATCAGATGATGGCGGTGGTCGCGTATGAAGAGAAAAAGCTTAAGACCATCTGTTTTCAAAATGGAAAATTCAAGAAAGCATACCGTAACAATTAGTCGAGATGTCGTTTGACAAGAGCAATTGCACTTCTACCTTTTCCAATGACAGTAGTTACTGAGTGTCATTAAAGAACATGTTCTGCCCAGGTGAATTCATGTATATGCAGGAAGACAGTCTCCCAACCATTTGGATGTCATGAAGGCGTTAAAAATTCGACGGATTCAAAGGTCCCCTAGAGTGAGCTATATCGACTTAAGTCCATTGGTCCCCTATAATCGTCAAGATCACTTCTCTCGCCAGACAGTTTTATTAAGGGACAACTGGATATCGACCACCCACTTCTACTAACGCACACGTTATGATATCTTGCGTAAATGTGCAGTTCGTTTGGCTGTTTAAGAGGCGCTTTTATCTTACTCCCGTATGCTAGAATTTTAAGACAATGTGGCAACTACCAAAGACGCAGAGAGCACCAGTCCAAGTAGGAGTGTGTGCAAGAGTGCATATTGGGTTGAAAAGATTTTACAATTTGAAACCCCGAGAAACAGCAAACCAAAGGGTTTTGGTTGTGCTGTTTAATTTTGATAGGTATGCTCGCAGGCTTGAGAAGCAGGCAGGTCGTGTAGTGGAAACTTAGGTATGACGCGTGTATACGCAACGACAGGAACACCCGGAAGCTTGGCCGAGCCAGTAGAGAATGCGCTGCTTGTGTACTGTGGCACGATACTAGGCGACCTCTGGACACTCCTTCGGATCTTTGGATGTCGAGGTCATGTAGCGACTATTTGCGACTGTGCAAATATCGGCAATGGTGTGAACTAGAGAAGTTGACAACGGACAGTGACCCGCTGAATCTGGGAGCAGTCATTTTTATAATGCGAAGGTAGCAGCAGTTCTCGTCGTGACAGTCAAACCTCTCGACACCGCTAGGGTTGTAAGGATGGTGTCGAGAAAAGTAATACAACCTCATAGACCGCCGGACATTGGGAAGCAATGTCAAACAGTAATTCGGCTGAAATACGTTCGAATACTAAACAAAAGGTCCTTGGACCCTCTGGCATAACGTTATTCATTCTCTCATCTTTTCGAATAACTTTATATCGTCTGTCCTAAGAGAGCTTTTTCGACGTTGTCACAGTGCATTTTAACCAATGTATGCAAAAGCGTCGCTTTTTTATAAAAGCCTGCAGGACTTTATGCTCCAGCTACACATTCTCAAACCAAAGCCTCTTCTAGAGATGCTCAAGTTGCTTAAAGTAAGTCAAACAATTCCGTGGAACAAGCTAATAATATAAGCGATTCAAATGTTATATGCTTTCTTTCCATCTGAACAGTCAATATCGCCGGGAGTCGTTGGGTCCAATAGCATAATCGCTCAAGGTGCCTCTTACTCAAGTAAGATGACTATGTTTGGGTGCTGCAGATCATTAATGTATTATTCGTTCTTCAGCTTGTTTCAATTTTAAATGACTTCAAGGCCTTTAAACACTCGACTGCAAGGGAAGACCATGCGATGCCCTAAGTCACAACCAACGTTTTCGCTATACTTCGCATACGTTGTTCAGTTTATGGGCCTTAATTCGTATTTATAAAAGCGATTCGTGGAAATGAAATCGCGGATGAGCTACCATTTGGATGGACATAAGACCTGGCAAATTCATCTGAGACGATGGCCTTTAACTGTGTAGGGGTGAGACGCACGTTTGTGACAGTTCGTAAACAGAAGCAACCGCACCGGATTATCTTCTGCCCAGCAGAGTAATGAAGCCAAAATGTACAGCCGCAACGCAAAGCATCTTTGACCGTGGCCTTATATGCACAAAACCTTTGTTTTCTGCTGAAACCAACCGCGCCACTGAAGGAAATGACAAAGTCGGCATCTCAAAGGAAACGGTTAAAATGATTGTCGAGCACCAGCTAATAATTCCAACTAAAAAACCGTGTTCACAGATCCTAGGTCATAAAACGGGTGGCAGGAAACTTCACCCACACGATGTTCCCAGCCACCATACCATAATTATGGTATGGTGGCTGGGAACATCGTGTGGGTGAAGTTTCCTGCCACCCGTTTTAACTATTGTTTTATTGTGAATGGCTACGCCTTAGTTACGCTTCTCAGATTAGCCTCCATACCACCCCCGAGAGATCCGTCGGAAATTGCCTACAGGTTTTACCTGATGTTCTCAGGAATTTTACGACCAACAATTATGTTGCTACAGGAAAGATTGCTAATATAAATGAATTTGGATGTCTCCAGACTGACAAAATTCGTGATTTGGATATTGGAATGCAGAACACTCACAAGTTTGAGAGTGCGAAGCACTTTCAGTCCGCGAGTCGTCACAAGCAAGCGAAAAACCCTAAAACATACAACGTGTGTAGATTCTTACTGCGATACCCGCAAGTTGTGCATTTTCCCTTAAGTCTGGCGTGCGCATTCGGCCATAATATGTTTCTTTACCCTAATGATGGTAAATAAGTAAATGAACGAAAAAATATAACTGGTTGGGGAACCACCGAAGGTGCTGGCGTCCACCAATCGCCGTATTTTTGGGAGCGCTCCTGTTTTTTATCCAATCGACTAGAACTTTAGAAGAAAGTGCTTGTTGTACGGATTCGTAGCGCGCTTATGATTTGTAAACATAGGTTTCGTATTTTCTCCACCGTTTTCAGAGCCGTATAGAGAAGTCTTCCGATTTGCCACCTGGAAGTGTCTCTTACCTAAAAATTAATCTGGCAACAAAACAGCACCTCTTTGATCGGGATCGCCCACAGAAACTCGACCGCTAGCCAAGTCACAAGACATCACGCTGTTTCAAAAGCACAAACTATCAAAAGTAACCATAACAACAGCGGGTTAAACAAAACACAGACTGAAGGTAGAATTCGTTGAGCGAGTTGAGTGCATGAAGAGCAACTCTGCAGCATTTCGTAACGGATTTTAATATAAATGGAACTCCACTTGTATTGTAACGTCCGTTCCGGAAGAATCAATATGGGGCGAAGTGATACCTGATGGGAACAGTCTCCTCTACAACCTGAGGGTTAACTTGAGGTTTTGAGCATGGAACATCCAATATTCTTCACATACAGCCTCAAACACATCAGAGTTACACGTAAGGCAGGAATTGTATAGGCAGACACTGATGATGAATTTTATTATAACTGAGTATATAAACGCGTGTGGACGTCAGTAGAAAACGAATAATGTGTTGAGTTCAGGAGCTAACAAAATAGGTATCGATAGGAGAATATATACATACATCAGAGCACAGGATTAACCTGAGAAAATCCTGATGGTGGAAAGCGAAATGTAACGACGATCAAGGAGAGAACGGACATAAAACAAACGAATATGTAACTTATCGGATATGCAGGTATTTTAATTTTTTTTAATTTAATTTATTATTAAATGCCGGTTTACAGGCATTGTCAAGGGAAGCAATTAAAAACAAATCCGACCAGCAGTGAAAAAAACTCCTGAAGTATAAAAATATAGTTGATGATGGTTTTTATGGTTTGGAGGGTTCAGGAGAAAAAAAAACTGCTGGCGAAAATGCCGGCTTTGATCAGATCACTGCGACGGCGTAAGTTATATTTGGATACTGGTAAGGTACGAGATGCTCAAAGCTCATATGCAAGGAATTCGTAAGCATGCGTTAGCCAGGCGTAAGTCGTCGCTACTGATACCATCGCGTATGTATGCATAACAGTTTCTGGGCAAATGAGCACTAAACCTGAATACGTAGGTCCCAACCTTACCCATAAGCATCACCTCAACCGAATTTCTGTTCTAGGCAGCAAGTATCCATTCCGGCTTCGATGGCAACAGAAAACGAACGGCCCAGCAGACCTGAGGGACAGAAACCCCTTTGTTTTAATCGCCATCGCTCTTTTGTAGATCGATCGTGAGGACTGAACTTTCGCGTCGATCGCCGATGACAGTCGATCCGATAAGTCCATTCTTCGGCATTTTTCCATTTATCTGTTTCTGTTGTACATTGTTTCTTATGTATTTTACAGTTTTGTCTTTTTCAAGATTTTTGAACCGTGTTTTGCGTGTACCCCTGTACATGTCGTGTTCCTAATGTTTTCTTTCATGGCTGTTTTTCTATACTTCGTTATCCTTAGTTTTTGCCAACCTGGTTACAGCATCAACACCCTCTTATATATTATCTCCCACACCCAATAGACTGTTTTCATCTTCCATTCATCGTCTAATACTCACTACTTACTTGAACGTCTGCAGCCGAATGCCTGTGTAATGGATACGAATACCTGGGCAAGGACGAAGCACGGATACGAAATTGCTTCTCCAGCTGAAAAAAGGCCCAATATGTATTTTCGTCTCGTCAACATGCGATCGAAATCAAAAATCTTTTCGGAGTATTTATGGATAATTGTTGCGGGGAAATCGGTTGGATGCTCCGGCCGGTTTGTTCTTTTGTATTATTTTGCGAGATGGAGCCTAACAGTGCCAAGCAATCTCAATCTTAATTGCCTCAATTCCTTGTTTCCCGCCGCTTTTGCCTATTTGCCCTGCTATCCACACCATATGCCCTGTCAATTCACTTCTGGGACCGCGCGTGGCTTGTCACTAGCCTCTCGGCAACCCGCAGCCAGTAAACGTCCCCCCTTCTCCGATTAACCGGAGGGCGCTAACTGGGACAGAGCGAAAGGTGCACATACGCGTCGCGGTCTAATAACCTCAACGGCGGACACGGAACAGAGAACTAATCCGGAGAGATAGCTTGTGGCAACGGCCACCCGGCCACTTGTACGCTCTTACGCATCTGTATAGTCGTCCAGCGTGATCCGTCTTCCCTGACTCCTGGCTTGGGTATTCTGGCTTTGTCGGCCATACCAACTTCGACAAGTTCAGTTGCAAAATCTGGCCAAATGGTCTAATTTAAACTTTTCGCTGTTGTTCTCTTAGAGAGGAAGAGAGAGAGCTGCAAATGCTTAAAACGATTGCTGTGTCCGGACAGCATACTGGTGAACTTCTTAAATCAGTCCGGATGCAATCTCACCAAATTGTTAGAGCTTATATTTTTTATTCATTATTTCAAGTAAAGAGACTGTCAGAATGACAGCTGGACAATTATTTAGCCGGTATCTCCTTAGACTGACTGGATTTGCCCAGTGCACGATTGGCTGAAGTTGCAATCGGACTTGTATTCGAGTTAGGTACTCGCTTTGGTTTACTAGAGGCTGCCGGTGTGTTCGGTCGGAGTGCTTGTATGCATGACATGTTGTTGCGTTTAGAAATATTGAATACTCTATAGAATTAACTATGTCATGACGTGGTGAGGCCGCAAATTATATCGGATGATACTTATTCGATATGACAACAGGGACCGTTAAATTGGCGTTGGTTTTCGACATTTTCAATTTGTTTAGTCTTCTGTGTATGCATGTGAGATCCGGGCAAACAGAGAAACGGCACTTATGAAAAAATTTCCAATGATGTCTTTCCTCGACAAGATGAATTTAACTTCTATTAAGGAGAAGTGATCAAGTAGTTTCAGCGCATTAGGCTGATCCAGCACAATTGGTTAGCTTGGCGAATGGTAGCCCAAGCCACAACGTTGCAGAAACAAACGCGCACCCTCAATAGCCGATTTGCATTCGGAATCTTATGCTACATAAAATTATACTTACGGTCTATCCTTTCATCAGCATCGGAGCTTTTTACCCCAATAACTTTAAACGGTTGCTCAATTACTTAACAAGTAACCTTCGTTTTGCATTCTTTCAAGTTTTTGGCAGTCACTGGTGTGGCATAGAACTAAAAGACTTTTCACAGTCAATGAAAGCGATGTGTCCTGCGTGTCTATCCTCGAACGTTTGGATCCGTCTCCGGTTAGGTTCTGGAAGCCTTTGCAGGAGTGCGATAGCAAACTATTAATATCTACGCTGTACAACAATCCATCTTTTATAATTCTACTCATGACTTTGCAGTCAATGTCCGCTAAGTATGAGGGTCTTTAATTTTTTGCCAATGACGTCTACGGTTTTCTGGAGGGAAGTAATTTACATCAGATTACAATCAGCGATAAGTGTTCCAGCATCGATGGACTTCGAAAAAAAAACGTTAACAGGGATAAAGGAAAATAGCTGACAAGTTCCTTGAGGAATTTCAAAATACAAATCTTAAATATATGACAAACTACCAAATTTCCACGGCCTTCCATTAGTTAGTGCTGGGAAACGCCCAACACCTAAGAGGTAAATTTATGAGCGAAAATTCGATGAAATTATTGACAATAATATTCAGATTCTAAAGAGTGCGGGATGCGGATTATGTTAACCAGATATCACGCTGTTAAAAGTGGTATCATGTCCTGCGTACTCGGGATGGAACAGAGTGGGGGTGACTTGAGTCTGAGTACAACTTCCGTTTCTTGTTCAGAGACTCCGGCTATTGAGTGTTCGTACCTTAAGTATCCATTACACAGACATTCGCTTGCAGGCGCACAAGTTAGCAGTGAGTATAAGACGATGGGTGGAAGATGCCAACAGTTTATTGCGTGTGAGAGATAATGCATAACAGGGTATTGATGCTGTAACCAGGTTGGCAAAAACTAAGGATAACGAACGATAGAAAAATAGTAAATAGCAAAAATTTTAGAAACTCTGTGGGCACAAGAATATACGCAAAACATGGGTGTGGATAACTGGGAGAAGAAAAGAAACTGCAAAACTACCTACGCATTAATATACAACGAAACAGATAGGTGGAAAATGTAGGTTGGACTTATCAGATTGATGTCAGTCGGTGATAGTCCGCGCGTGATCAGGCCTCACGATCAATCTACAAAAGAATGATCGCGATTGAAACATAGGGGTTTCTGTACGTCAGTTCTGCTGTGGTGACAGTAGAAAAATGACGAAATATGTGCGCGGGTAGCATTATGAAGGAGGAAAGGTTGCAGGAACACACGTTCCTGAGATCCGTGAAGAAGAGATCATTGCGCAAAGAAGCATTCAATTTTAGAGCAGGCCTTTTCAAGATATGATTTTAGCAATTCATGTACATATACAACGGAAATAAATCATGCAACGACAGAAAACTTAAAGGTTCTGAAAAAGTCCAGGTGAGCAGCAATTTGCAGCTCGAGAAGTCGACAAAGGTAGAAACTGATTGAGGGCAAAGGGGACTCTACGACATTCTGTCATGTTTGCTTTGCCTACTAATCCTTTCGCAGCTTCTCCCCCCTTGTTAACCTGATTCTAATGGAGGTGCGTCTCCGTCTGCTGTCCCGACAGTAACCCTTCCACAATTCTCTATTTTCATTAAGTGTTTCAGCTTATGCTTCGCTGGTGTGTAGTTTTAAAGTTTGATAGTGTGATTACAAGGCCATAGCTTTCAAATTTAAGTCGTATATCGTCCGCAATCAATTTGCAGAGATTGTTTGAATATATGACTTATAAACCGCGTTTTCGGGAGTAGTTTGCGATGTCTGTCTTCCGTTCTTCAGTTTCGCTCGTTCAGCAAACGACCCGTAAGTTCTCGCCTGATTTCTATTATAACATAATCAAACGCTAACGGTGCAGTCATTTTAATGCGTTTTCACTTTTTTTAACTTGTCGGGTTGAGAATTTATGCTGTCTGAAGCAATTGCATGCGCTTGTCATTGCACACAGGAACGAAATACTTCAACTTACATCTTGCGCTTACATTTTCACTTAGTCCGTTCGCGCATGTTTTTGTGCTTTTATCATTTTATTGGCTGTACAGTGAAAGTCCTATACATGCAACTGCCGACCCAAGGATGCATAAATAAAGTCTGATCGTGTTTAATTTCAGGCATATTGTCCCGTCAAAACTTAAAAACGTAATTTCTTCAATAATGTTACCGTATTGCGGTAGCTCAATGCCATATAAAGACTCTTTTTTTACCAGACAAAGATAGTGAGTTTGAGTAACGTCATTGCAAACTGTCACAAATCACTTACTTACACTCTTTTGCTGAATTTCCTAGTATAAATGTAGTAAATAACTGCATTTAAAACATCCTTAAGTTGTTGCGAATAAAACCGTACTTTTTTGTGGCCGTCTGCCATCTAGCACACGAATATGCGTAGTCGAATACGACTACTGCTGACTTGAGTTCTACAGCACTTTTCTTTGTCTCCCTTCCGTCTAAATCAGGTCTCCTATACACCAATAACGTGTACTAGGAGCTCCGATCTTTACCGTGAGTCAATTTTTGGTCGTGATATCAGACTTTTGGACGTCTGAGCAACTTTCCAACATTTGGCCGCGCTTGGCCTTCAGAGCAAGATGGATGCAGTGGTTGTGTGCGCGCAGTCTTTGATAGACTACCGAAAAGCTCTAGCCCTATAAGGGGGACTGGAGACGACGCTTAACCGACGTGTACGCACGTGTATACACCCAGCCTTTGTCAAGCTGTCGACCGCTGGACGCAATGAGCGACACATGTGAGCGGAGGTCGTCCAAATGGGCCAAACTCCAGACGACGCGTGCAGTCGGTGTATGTGAGTGCGTCAATGAGGCCTTTGACCCCGCCCATGAGAACGAACTAATAGGTAGGAACGAGCAGTATGCAAGTGCAGTTTCATCAGGACAGGCCTTGGCGGGATCACACTAGTATATTCACACACACTTGCTCCCCGGTTTCGGTTTTCATTGTGCTACAAAAACACAGTTTGGAGCGGCACTTATCATCTTTTCTTCATTTACCCATTTTAAATAACGATCCTGCATGATAAGCCGCTCAATACTTAAACGTTCCTCACTGTCGACTACTGGATTAGTATTACTCGACAGTCGAACCCTTAGGATCCTGCTTTGTGTCACCTTGAATAGTCCCAATCGGAATTAGTCTTGCAACCGTGTCATCAACTTATATTCAGGGTCTTCTGAGTTAAATGCGTGTAGGCCGAATAGGTGACTCAGGCTGGATCACGTGCTGTGTACATAAAGTCCCAGGGCCTTTTATTGGATTTTGCGTTTACGTATTTCTGACAGCATTCACCATTTCTCGTTCAGACGGCTTCGAGTTACGAGTGCACCTTGTCCGGATGATTGCCTTTCATTGCAGTTTGCCAGTGCCAGCCTTCAAAGCGTCGCGGTGCAGCTCACAAGGGAGGACTGTTGCGAGTTTTTTCGCCTACACCAATACAGCAAAACGGTTGAAGACAAATAAAGGATAACCTATGGAGGTAGCAGAACCTTTGACCGGTCAAAAGTGCATCTCCTCGCAACTAGAATTTTTTAAACACAATTTCGTAGCATAGGTTACACATTGACACGGCCATCATAATGTCTAGTACCAGTGTCTATCTCACGCATACTACTGGGGTCTGACAAGGGAGTCTGAAAATGAGCATGAACCCCTTAACCTTCGCCTGCAACAACTTCGGCCTGTCAATCAACACGAACAAAACGATGGTCACGCACCAACCGTCACTAAACGCTGGGTACAACTCTCTTCGGATCGCTGTCAACGCCAACCAACTCGAAACCGAGGACGACTCGCCCTATCTAGGCAGTACACTCGCGCACCACAAAGATCGACGATGAGGTGTCCCGCCGGCTCTCCAAAGTCAACCAGGTCTTTGGCGGGCGGCAACCCTCCGTCTGGAATCGCCACTGCCTTCGACTGAGCACCAAACTGAAGATGTGCAAGGCCGCCGTCTTGACGACGCTCCTGTACGGAGCGGAGACCTGGACCGTCTACGCAAGCCGTGCCTGGAAGCTCAACCACTTCCATCTCAAATGCCTTTGCAGAAGACTGGTGCTGAGATGTCAGGACAGTATCCCGGACACGGAAGTCCGGGAACAGACCGGACTCCTCAGTATCCGCTTCATGCTGAGGCAGCTGTAACTGCGATGTAGCGGCCATCTGGTGAAAATGGACGACGTTCGCCTACCAAAACAAATATTTTAAGGGTATGTCGCCACGGGTTCTCGCCGACTGGAAAAACCAAAACG